AATTATGTTCTTTCGTACGGACTCGCCGATTCTGTCACTGTGCAGAATCGTCCGCTTCTCTCTAAAACCGGACGATTCCCGTTTTTTTCACCGATTCGATCCGTCCATGGCGATTCTCGAGTCGAACTGAGCGAGTCCGGTTCGACTCGGCGTTTTTTTAAACACTGGTTTAAAGAAATTGCCATCCAACCGGGAATCGATCTAGACCATCCTGGTTTTGTTGTTTTCTTGTCTGAAACCAAAAACTGCATCCAGTTCCCTTGGAAGCCCTTTCTGTCTGGGATCTAAGCGTCACAAAACTTGGTCTCCCAGATCGGCATGTGATATATCAAATTTCATACGGACATTATTTTGGGGGTCAATTAATATTTGGTGTCTCATTTATCCGAAATAAATTACTAGCACCACCCTCTACCTTTTTTTTTTTTTTTTTTTTAAATTAGCCCCATGCAAACCGGGCAAAGGGGTTATTATTTGTGCACTCCCTGGTTTTCTAATCCCTCTCTCTCCTGAATTCTCGACCATTAAATCTGTCTCAACAAAAATTTCACATATTTTCTCTTTCTCCTATTGATTCTCCGCAATTAAAATCCCTCTCACCGCCATTTTAAACTCTCCGCCATTAAAATCTCTTTCCACAATTAGCATCATCTGCAACTTTTTCTCTTCCTTCATTTCTCTATTTTTTTAACTTTGTATTTTTCAGTCAAGACACATTGCAGCCAAGAGAGAGATGTGAAATAAGATTCAAGCTATGTCGGGAGAAAGTGAAACAAATTTGGCAACCAGACCATCATACCTCTCTCATTGCACGTGGGGATCGGAATAAGCACCATGGGGTAATCCCCATCAACTCCCTTCTCCAATTCTCCGACCTCCATTAGAGGAACAAGCTCGAGCTTCCTGAACCTGATCCCAAAGCATCCCAGAACCTGCACAATTCGATCCACCGATGGAACCAGGAACAAAATTATAAAAACATTAGCCAAAATTTGTAGAAGAGGAGCAATATAATCCCCCTAATGAAAACCCCAGAAGAATAAACCATTCCAAAAACCCCAAAACCTCGGCTTTTGCGGAAGGTGGGTTAAAATGCCACCCTTTATAATAAGCCCCCATCTCAAAAACCAGCATTGCAACAGCAAAAACCAGCATTGCAACAGCAAAAACCAGCCCCTATAAAGCTTTGAACCCTTTGATTACCTCGTCTTTGGGGCTCTACATTTCGACCATCGACAAATTGGGGTTCTCCATTTTGATAAACCACACGATGCATCCTTTCTCTTTCTCCCTACTCCACCATTCCTAAAACTCTGTAATTGGGTGGCGCCATGACTGAGTCCGATTAAAAGGAGTATGAAGAGTGGTTTCTTCAGGGTAAATTTCTATCCACACCATATATAGTCTTTCTTCTCAAGGGTCGGCGAGGCTAAACGAGAATGGAACCATTCTGTTGATCCGCTAATTCAGGGGATTATTGAAGAGAGAGAAAGAAAGAGTAGTGAGAGAAACAATCAATGAGATCTCATCAAAGAGAGAGGCGAAGCGTAGTAGAGTGAAAAAACCAGAGGAGGGACAGCATTGGTAACTTTTAAAATCACAAAAAAAAAAAAAAAATCAAACCCAGTATTATTATTGCTGAACAGGATCATCAAAGAAAATAAAAACCAGTACAAAAAACGGGTGGCGTTTGTAATTTCGAACAAAAAAACCAGTAGAAAAAACGGGTAGTGTTTGTAATTTCAAACAAATTGAGACACCAAATGATAATTGATCCCTCAAATACTCCGGTGTTGTTATCCCCGTATAAGGAGAATAAAAAAAAAACGAAAAAAAAACGGTGGTGCTCTTAATTTCGAACAAATGAGACACCGAATGGTAATTGACCTCGCAGATCCGTATGCAATTTGTTATGTTTATTTATTATTGTATTACTTTTGTTTTCCACTTTCTTTGTATTTTGTACTGATTTGCACACTAGAGAGTTCCCATACGAAACAGATTTCTGGATGGTCAGTTCACCAGACCCATCAAGGTTTTAAAAAATTATTTCTATTGAATAGATGAAGGATAGGTGTTCGCGAAGTTGGCCGGTCGAACTCAAAAGACGCCTGTCAATTTGGAACCAGGTACCGGCTTGGATTTTGGCCCGTTTAGGTGGTCAGGCCATATATATATATATATATATATACATAAAAAAATACGAGATTTGTTTATAATGTATTTTTCAATATATTTTATCATTTTAGTAAAGATTGGAAAGTGTTTTAGCCGTGAATAGTTATTTATATATGAGTAATGATTCTATAGGGCTTTTTTCCACCCATATATGTAGGATTTCAGAGGATCACTATTAAATGACACGGATCTTTAAAAAAGTTATTATACCGTATCAAATTTAAGGATATCTTTTAGAATCCTACACACATAAGTAGAAGAAGATCTTATAAGATCATTTTTCTTTTTTAGTTTATTTTTCCCTCTTTTTTTGAAAAATTTCATAAAATACCTTAAATCACAATCACTTTTTTTGCTATTTATTTTTTTCACCGTTTTTCCATCATTTGGTTGTGCTTTATTTAATTATGCTGTAACTATATCTTTTTTTGAATTATTTTATATTTTTTTAACACTTTTTTAACTGGTCACAACCTGCCCGGTTAAGACGGGTGAACCGTCCAGTTTACCAGCTACTCGAAATCCGGCCCATTCAGGTCCCATTTGATTTGTAGAACACTGCAAAGGATAACTCACAAAATGGATCTCCGCAAAATGACATTTTCCTGCAAAGTGCGTTTAGCGTATTACTCCAGGATATTCTCAATATGAAGTTCTAGAATCCACTTCAGAGTCATGGCCTAAATATGCTAATCGAAAGAAAATTACGTTTTGATTTATTAAGCGCTTAACCATCCAAAAATTGGATGATCTCTAGTAAACATTGTTTTATCCATCGCGACATGTGATTTATTTTGTTCTAGAGAAAATTATTAAAACCCCCTCAATTTCAACACCTTTGAGACCATTTTATGAACTCCAATAAATCTTATTTTTTATTATTACCCCCAAATTAGAAAAATATTTTTTTGGATAAAAATACCATTCATTTGACCCATCTTTACCTTACCTACTTTGTATCCCTGATCAACACAATTTGTTCGAGACTGGCTTTTGGAATTACAAAAGTCAGTATGACATAAGATATGCTGGACCGATTCTTAGGAATCTAGAAATTGGTTGTGCCGGACAAAAAAATGAATCCAATCCAGCACAAAAACTGTGTCGGGCTGGTCTGGCACATTAATTCATATTGCCCATCTGACATGTAGGACCGGTCCTATGAAAATATTGGTATGAGAAAGAAAGAGAGAG